TAGAAGAACCACCTTTCACTCTGTATCAACTCAACTGAAAGTAATCAATAATGTCAATATAATGCCTGATGCTTTAGTCTGTGAAAAGGGGTGTGGGGGACTACACCTGAACTTATAGGCACAGGAAAGGACTTTCCAGACAGGACCTTGGTAACATAAGAATGAAGACTAACAATTAGCAAATGGGTCCTCATGACGTAAAACTTTCTATAGAGCAAATAACACAATCATTCAAGTGAAGAGACAGCTTAAAAATTGGGAAACTATGGATATAACAGTCACGTACCCAACACTGGGTTAGTGTCTAGAATATAGAAAGGACTTAAAAATAAACTTAAATGTTAAAAAAAATCTAAACAATAGTTCTCAAATGGCTGAGGTACACATCAGGGAAATGTACATTCAACCTACTTTGAAATTTCATCTTACCACAGTCAGAATGGCTGAAGCCATAAGAACAACTCACAACAAATCCTGGATGTAGAAAGGAGCACACTTATTTCCTGTTAGTGGGAGTGCAAATATGTGCAGTCACTATGGTAATCAGTGTGCAAATTCCTCAAAAAGCTAGAGTATCTCAACCATATAATTCAGCTACACCATGCCTGGGCACAACCCAAAGGACCCTATATCCCACCAGAGAGACACTAAATCATCTATGTTCAATGCTGCTCTATTTCCAATAGTCTGGATGGTCACAAACAGGTAAATGGGATAATGACCACGTGGGGCATTTACACAATGAAACATTATTTTCCTATAAAGAAAAATGAAATGAATTTTGCAGTCAATGAACTGTGCTGGAAATACACAAACATCACAACGGGTACTAGCTCTGAATCTTTAGAAATACGTTTCTCAATGGAAGTGCCAGGAAACTAGTTCCGGGCAATGGGAGAGTAAGCTTACGAGGGAACAGGGAAACAGCTCAGCTTGTATGAACAGGGAATGTAAACTAACGGGTAAGGAGAGTTGACGGCATGGGGCATGGGGGGGAAGGTTGAGAAGTAACCATGTGGCATGTAGAGACCTACTAGTACAAAAGCTTCCTGAGACACACATTCATACGCATATACAAGGAGTTTAAATGGTGTTACCCTGCAAAAGGGGAACACTGCACTCCCAGATACCACAGGCTACCCAATTAAAAAAAATACCCAGGGGCAGGTTAGCAGTACCTCTTTCCAACCCCTAAACATTATAGTCTCTTGGGTCACAGAACATGAAGTAATGCAGCTGATGTCCTAATGGGAGTGGCCATCCCTAAACTCCAGCTTTCCTAATACAGGGGTTGCTAGGTATGAAGGATGTACAGAAAAGTACAATAACCAACAGTGTCATCCAGCTATGAAACCTGTAAACTACAGTTCTAGTGGCTTGACAAACCCATTGGTGAAATAATGCCACATTTCTATGGCAGTAATCAACTGCTTTAGGGTTGGACTGTAAGACCCATTCTGCAAGATATAATTTATCTGTGTCACCATTAACAGGGGAAAAAAACTCATAGCTGGGTAAGACATAGGCTATAGGAGAGAACTTAGTACTATTATTCTGGTAAGTGGGGATAGTGTTTAACTGCTGCCTAAGTTCTTATCTGCACAACCACAGATTAGTGCATCTTCTCATCCTCACTCAGAAACAGATGATTCTTTTTTACAATAGGCGTGGATAACAGGCCCATCCCATCCTCTCAAGTTTCAACAATTATGGGAGAAGTCAAGATGGAAATAGCCAGAGTGGATAACTCTGGAAAAAAATGGTTCAGGACATGGCAGAGTAGTTGCACATAGGTGTGAATGTATAAAATCAAGCAAGACAAAACTCCAGCATGAATGGCAAAAGTGTTCATGAAGTCTTCTGGTCCCTCCACCTAAGAAGAAGAGCTATGAGCAACTGACAGATGCTCGAGGAGGGAGAAACTGTTCTTTTTAGAAATATGACCCTCCGGAGTCTATCCATTGGCCAGCAAATGACCCTACCCGCGTGCACATGCTGGCAGTGCTAGTTGGATGCTGTGAGTTTAAAATGGAACATATGAAATGGGGAGGGAAGGTTGGTGGGCGGAATGAGGGAGGGCCTGGGGAGTAGACAATGGACTGGGAAATGTGATAAAAATATATTATGCGCATGTATGCCATCCATAAACAGTAACAAAAAGAAAACTGAAATCAGTTTTTAAAAAGTTGAATTGTTTCCTCCCTCCCTTTATCTAGGATGAGCTACTGCTTAGCTATCATTTAGAATGAGCGTTGTCTCTGAAGGTCAGGTGGCTGAGTGGCAAATTATCAAATTGCATCTTTCTGTACTGTAAACATCACCATTAACTCATATCAAATAACAAAACTGGCAAATTGGGCAAACTGTAGGTAGTGGTGAGAATATTTGTCTTATTGGATGATATCTCAGCATAGTTTTCTGATTGTTTCTTTTTTTGTGTGGCAGGCTTTCTCTGTTTCTATACTCAGGAGAAATAATCCTGTTTTCCCAAGTTGAGTATACACCAAGCAGAATTTAGTCTATCAATACTGCAAGTGAGCCACTAAGATCCTCCTTCATAGGAAAGGTTTGAAATAGATACTCACAACTAATTCTTGTCAAGTAAGTGTTATATATGAGAAAATTTCAAATATAAAGAAAAGATCAAAAGCAAGGCTCTGTTTCTGACTGGTATTGAAGCTCTTAAGATATGAGAAGCAAATAGACTTTACACACACACACACACACACACTAGCTAAGTGATATTCAATATTCAAATAAAGCAAAAGGTACATGACTGTTGCATATGGAAGCATGCTTTCTTGTGTCAGAGTGCCCAACAGTGCCAAGGTATATGAGCAGCAGTTAATGGAGCATTTTGATCAGCCAGTCAAACTTATTTCAAAAGATGTGCCTATCAAAGAAAAAGCTTAAAACACAACATAGGTGGAGCTCACCTAACAGGAGCCAGGAAAGCCTGGATCCTGATTTTTTTTAAAAAAAAAAAAAAATCTGTCTTTTGTGTTTAAAATGGGAAAATAATCTAGGATAAAAATTAACATAGGTCTGGCTAGCATAAGATAATGAAATACTTAAGCACTGAAAACAGCAGTCTGTGCAATAACTGGTAGGCTCAGCATACAGGAACCAGAGAGCACAGGATGGGTGGCTTAGAAAGGCAATGCCATTTCACCAGTGGCAGATACCTTAAATATCCTGGGGCATTGGCTGTGAGCAACTGATGGGATGGTCAGGCCAACCCTTCTTTGTCTTTGCAGCAGCAGACACTGCACTGAACTACACAGGGTTCTAAGCAAGCGATCCCATTTTGGAGATCTGTATTCATCGTATTTAGAATTCCAGAGTCAGTTTTGTGGCTATACACTTTGAAATTAAAAACAAGGCAAGCTAATCAAATTCCCAGTTTTCAGGGTGTGATCAGAAAATTCTGTGTGTTTTTCATCATTTGATTAAGTTCTGCATTTGAATTTTTAATAAAAGGACTGAATCTTGACATTCTTATACAGACAGAAGTCACGCCCCATTTCAGAAAATTCTACTCAAATTAAAATAATCAGATTCATGGGAGCATTTGTGCAGAACTTTTGCTGACATCATTTTAACATCCAGTATTGGTCTCTGTAAAATATCAGGGCTATACAGCCCTTTGATGTGAAAAGTATAGCCGTTTAGGCTATTATACTTAACACACACAATTGGAAATGTTAATTTTGAAAAAAATCATTTAAGAATACATAAATCAAACATTCATAAGTTGTGAAGAAAAAAATTACAAGTTTAATTGTATAATATATAATTCTGAAAGTGAGATAAGTCTAAAATGAATTATTGCTGGAGATTTTTCAAGTCACTGTCATGTTCTGTTGATGGATGTAACATTGCCATACAGCTCAGTGTTAAACTTTACAGAACCATAGCAGAGCACAGAATACTGAAACTCTGGACCACTCAAGTTGGATGAGGTTCCACTCTCTAACTATAAGTCTATAGCCTGGACCATGTCAGTGTGCTCAGCCATGTACTTTCTCAGGGTTAGAAGACTATGCAGTTTTCAGTCTCGGCTAATTCTCTCATTTCTCTCCCATTTTTTAGAAAACACATTGGAAATTGTCTAGGGAAATAACAACTAACTCATTCACTCACTAACAAACTAAGCCCTATTATCCCTAAGATCAGATTTCCATCCAGGGGACCGTAAATACACACATACACATGTAGATGTGAAGACAGAGAGGCCTCTTTTCTCAGAGGAGATAACTCTGAAAATGCAGCCCATAAGAACTCCTCATGGGGTCAGTAAGCAAGTCCTCCTGTGCCCAGTCCCCTCCCCATGTTCACAGTGACTGTGCTTGGCTGGCATTGACCTTCTTGCATATTTATCTTCCAGGGGAAGTCAACCTGAGATAATATTGCAGTTATTAGGAGAAAATTTACGTTATAGCTTTAGATCTTTCCATCCTGCTATTAATACTCATTTGACAGAAAACATGTCTCTACAGATGGATGAAAATGAGCACATAAGTTCATGTAAATGAACATTTGAGAGAAAATACAATAACTACCGTTAAAAATAGAGGACACATTTGAAAACTGATGGATTCTAGCATGTTGGTAATTACTTGAATATGATGTGTATGACTGATTTTTAATGTCTTGTGACTCTTGTCTCAGGATAGGACAAGAATTGGAAAAAGTTGAAATCTTTGGTCTGGAATGTTTTAACAGATAAGAGTTCGAATTTTAAGAGTAATACCTCTCTGTGTCTATATCTTAAAGTCGCCGATTCTTTCAGGTGCTTATTGAAATTGTTTTCAAAGTCATCTTTATACAGGTGGAGATAAGGCATTTCAAGTTAAATTTGTCTTACTCAAGATCCCAGTCGTGTGTAAACCATTTGATTCCATGAATCTCAGCCCAAAGCTTGTCACTATGTCATGAAGCTTCCTGGGAAACCCATAGTATCAGTTCAGTGTGTAGAGTTTCCTTCACCAGTATCTTACCTGGCACCTGCCATTTGCACATATATCTAGTCCCTGATATCCACAAGAAGTTCCATCCATCACCTTATCCGATAGAAGAACAGGCTGTTCTTTTCCAACAGGAGAGCAAAACAAGGCACATGGTTTTTCTGCATTCAAAGTGGATAAAAGAGAGAAAAAATGACTCATCAATATTTTTTATCATAAGTTCTATTTTTCCACAATGATTACTGAGTAAAAATATAAGGCAATGCTAATTGAGCAATACAACATTAAAGATTTATATCAGAGGCTTAGTATATTAGATGAAATACTATTTCTTTAGAAAACCAGTCTATATTAATTTCAATTTTCCGTGATCTGGCCTCAAATATATATATTATATCTCATATATAAATAAATATATATACATTATATATTGTGTTTATATTTATTATGTTCATATTATATATATTTATTATATAAATGTTTATATATTATATATCATATACACATATTATTATTTTCTAGAACAAAACTACAGAAAACATATCAATTGTTCTCCTGAAATACATTTGGTGCATGACAAGTTTTGTTTCTGTCTTTCAAATGATAGCATTCTTACTCTTCACTCACTTAAAAATTTTGATTAATATTTATGCATAAAGTCTTTTGATGTGTCTCACTAATAAATATGGATTTACTAAGATTCAATGTTTTTCCTACATCCTCAAATAAAAAGCTACCGAAGTAGGAAAAGCAACGGTCGCCAGACTCTCCTTGCTCTGTGTTTTCAGAAATGACAAGCAGCTGCATAGGAACTTGGATCAAGAGGCACAAGTGCAGATGTGTTAGTAGGGCTCAGTCCCTTCACCACCGACTCTGAAACCCTGTCAGTGTGGCTGATGTCGAAGGCAGGAAACATTGATTCAGGCTGAGGAATTCTTGAGCTGCAGGCCTTCCTCAGTGCCCTACTGAGCCTGAAGCCAGAAGCCTGGATTTCAACGACTCGCCTTTCAGACTCAGAAGTGGTATCTTTTTTTTTTTTTTAAGTGTTTCTATTTTGAAGCCATTTATGGAGAATCTGTGCTACTTGGTGACATCAATGGTGCAGATAATCAAACCTGAAACTTCAGAAGGCCCTCTATGCTACATTCTACTCTCCTGGCTTGACACCAGTCGGCCCTTTACTGCTTATTAAACTTGTAAAAATAGGATGGAAAATAGTTTACAGGCTCCGTCACTGCTCTTATGTCTTCAGAAACATTCCACGTGTGCTGAGGGGATTCTATAAATACCAGATAACAGCCAGAGGCATGGAACCCGGTATCACTTTGCAAAAAGAAGACAGACAGTTAAATGAGCCTTCAAAAACTCAACATTTCAAACAGTTTTCACATGTGGCTTCAGAATGCCACTCTAACCAATTTGGGGGAGTTGGAAATATGGCCTTTAACATATATGGTTTTGAAATTTCCCTTTAAGACGCCATTAGAAGCCGCAATAAAACTCTGCAATGTGTTTCGCACCCCAAAGTACACTATTCTCTGACTGCTAGCTGTGTCAGGTCGTTGGACTTGAAGACAACCGCTATAACTGTAACACCTTAAAAGTGGTCTATGTAATTCTCTTTCTAGCGTTTTTCTTTGAAGACAGAAGCAAGCCAGATACATGAGTTGAAAGGACTTAGTCCTCGTGAAAATTCCATTCATATTCCAAACAGGAAATCTGGTGGAAAAATCTTAGTGATTTTCCTTTTGTAACACATTGTCAATACTGTTGTCATAATTTAGCTTTATAGATGTCATAAATACTTGATTCACTATCTTTATTCCTAGGGAATACCCTGGAGAGTGTGACACCAAGGTAGGTGAACCCTGATACATGCCAGTACTTGGCATGCAGATACTATGACTTGATTTAAAGGTACAGGACTCCCCAAGATGCAAAATGCACATGGATAGCATCAGAGCTTGAGCATGCATACATGATGCAAACACATGAACACAAAAGCCAGAAACTGCTTTTCTTTATAACAAGCAACATTTACTACCTCAATGAGATCCTATATCCAGCTATTCTTCCATGGTTACAGATCATAAAAACAAACAAACAAACAAACAGATGTAGCCACCATGTTATATGGTTTATTATATAGTATTATAATATAATCATGATTTATTAAGAATTTGGACTTCTGAAATCATTTGCTTCCAGAGGATGAGATGAAGGATAGTTATTGGGTATTTTATTGAACACACAAACCAATAAACTCAATTGATCCATATTGCAAAGTGATTAAAATATGCGATTTAAACCACAACAAGATAGCACCGCACTCTAGCAAGAAGGACAGTCATCCAAGAGTCTAAAGACAGCTAGTATTGAATAAGGAGAAAAGGTAATTTTTGTACTGGGCTAGTGATGTGTAGTAATGTTGCCTAGTGAAAAGTTGAATGAACTTCCACATGATCCAGCAAGTCCACTGTTTCAAAGGAAACTAAGTCACTATGAAACAGAAGAATTCACGCTATTCTCCTCATTGCAGTAGTATTTACAATGATCAAGAAATGGAAATAAAGGAAGTATTGTATCAACAGTTGCGTGGATACAGACAATATGTTCCATAATGATAAAAGGAAATCCTATCATTTGAAAAACAAGAACAACAACAACAAATACAAAACCAAAAAAAAACAGATGGAATTTGAGACTATCATATAATGTGAGGCCATAATCTTGGCAAGAAAGAAAAATATCCCATGACTTTATTCATACTTGAATATTATAAGTCTTTCTCATAGAAGTTGAGTATAGAGTGGTGGTTACCAGAGGCTAGGAAGACAGAGACCAGATGCACAGGGCAAGTCTGTCAGTGAGTGCTAAGGAATTCTGGTGTGCTGCTCCCCACAGGCTATGTGAAAGCAGAGTGAGGCACACATGTCCTAAGGCAGAAGGATAACGCTTGACAGTTTTAGCATAAAGAAATGATAAATGTTGAAGGATATAAATATGTTTAATTTGGATCACTGCACAGTATTATAAAAGTATTGATGGTAGTATATACAAATGTAAAATATTCTGTTTTATGGATCATTAATAAATTTAATATTAAAATGCTTACCTACTGGTTGTATAAACAGTAAATATCTTTAGAACTCAGGCTTTCATTCATTATATTTACATATTTTTAATGAATAAAGGTCAGCACCATTCCACTCCACCACTGTTTACAGTTTTGTTGTTTTGGTGGTAGGTTTTTGTTGTTGTTATTGTTGTTTGCTTTGCATACTTGTTTGGTTTTTTTGTCTGTTCATGTGCCTAAGCTGAGTTAAAGGAGCCCTGATCCAGTGACATGTTAGCTGTTAAACAGACTGAAGGAAACATGGGAAATTACAGTCCATCGGGACAATGAGAAGGAGTAAAGGTAACGTGGGCTGTATGCTGGAGCCACGGAAGCCACTGTCGTGCAAGCCCACGTTCAGTGTTCACAAGCACTGTTACCATTCTAACTTAACATGGTAGCATATGCTTCTTTTAGTTCTCATTTTAAAGGAATTGAAGATTCATTTCAGCTGGTAAAACTAATTTGAAAATGACCCATGTACTTCTCCGTTAGGATCCTCCAAGGCTGCACCCTGGTAGCTATAGTAAAATACAAAGTTAAACCAGAGTACACTGATCACCGTGTAAAATTCTGTCATTTTATCAAATCTGTTTGTGTGCATACCACTCCTGCAGCTAAGACACTGAGCACTCCATGAGCTCGTGTGTGCCTCTCCTGCCACACTGCTCACGACCACCACGCCTAGTCCCTGGCACCAACCGTTGACTTTCATTTCTTTAACTTTTGCCACTTCAATCTGTTATTTCCATGGAATGTAGTGTAGCATGTGGCCTTATGTCACTGCCATGTTTTTGGCTGACATTTTTATTTGGCACAACACCCCATAATCCATTGTCAATAATACTGGCTGCATAGTATTCCATTGCTCAGGGATTCAACTTCTACATTGTTCATTGCATGTTCAACTACTTTAGAGATTGCCAAACTACTCTTCAGAGTGGCTGTACCATTTTGTATTTCTATCAGCAAGGTTAGACATATCAATTATTCACAGATAAGTTATTCTAATGGATATCTATTCATTGTTCACAACGATACTAAAATAGACACATGTTTAGTTCTGTGGTTGTTATATGCCAGTGAAGTCAGAAAAAAAAATGAAGTCTACAAATAATTGTAAGTTAATTTGTAAAATAACGCAAGTACTATAAAACGACTTGCATCTAGCTGGTGACCATACCTTCATCGAAGACAGCTTGCCACTGAAGTGCATGCTTTGGGTACGAAGTTCTAACACTATAGGCCTGACATTGCCAGTCTCTGAATCCAGGCAAACCTGCAGGACAAGGTGGATTCTCACATATTCTGTATTGTTTTCTGGGGCCATTACAATCCCTTGCTTCAGAACCTAGCCTAGAAAAAGAGTACAGATAATAAATTTCACCTTTTCCCAACAAGCACCAACTTTTAAAAGTGAAAACCATCATACTTATAAAATATCCTATTAGACTGCTTCTTTTAAAGCATATAAATGGCTGAGGAGAGTAGGGCATTCATAGGCTTATGTTTAAAAAAAGAAAGATTTTTTTCAATGTAAAAATTATTTTTCAAAATCCATGAATGATGAAACCTACTTTAGATAAAACAGAAGACAAAATCCAAGGGCAGAACTCAGAGCAACATGTAAAGTCTGACTTCCTCATGCATTAGTTTCTATCAGGATTATTAAATTCATATTTTCAGAAAATTCAGACACTTTCCAGCAGCATATAACTGAACTGTGTCCCCGAGTGCCACAAAAGCAAACTGAGTAGAATCCCTCATTCCCCTGTCCTCTCTACAGGTGCAGTGACCTTGAACAAGAAGGCCTGTTAACAACCCTCAGCTGTACATGGGCCCAGCATGGACTTCTGTTCTTTTTCTTTTTGATTTTTATTTTTTGTTTTCACTTTACTTTTTAAGCTTTTATCATCACTAACTTTGCTCTTATTCGTTGCCTTCAGTTCCAGCATCCTCTTGCCTTCCTCCTAGCCTTCCTACTATTCACTTGACACTTACAATGTCCCAGCATCCTCTTGCCTTCCTCCAAGCCCTTCTAATGCTCATCCTGCTCACTGGAGTACATTTCCTCTGATTTACTCATGGACAGTGTCTTTTTGTAGATTTCATTACTCTTTGTTAGAAAGCCTGATCAGTGTTTGCTTCTTAAAGGAGACGTTTTATTTTGGGTAAACAATTTGAGGCAGTAGTACAGTTGTACCAGTTTCCTTTGTTGTCCATTAGGCTTTACAGGTGGTAAAGGCTTTGTTATTTCAAAACTGAAGACCAAACGCCCTCCCCCAAGCCAGGAGCTGTGACTTTACCCAGGACACTTGCGCTCTCGACTGCTGACCCCAGAACTGCAACTTCGACTACAGGAACTCCACGGGCTCCACTCTCCAGCCAAGTGCTCGGGTGCAGGGGTCCTGCGGGTGCATTCTCCAGCCTTACACCACTATTCCAAAAGTCATGTCTTAGGTGAACAAATCAGGGCACAACTGAAAATCATTCACTGGTCTACACAGTCACTGGAATTAATGCAAGTCAGTTAGGTCTATGGCAGCCCAAGTACCAAATATGAAGACTGTAAAAGACAAAAGTTAGCTGGCACTTCCAATATTAAGACCCATACTCCTGGATGGTGTCATTAACAGTCACAGGATGGAAACAATACACAGATTGGCTACTACAGGGCAGTAAAATCCAGCACTGTGGGGAGAAAGAGCAGAAGCAGGGGAGAGGGGGCCTGAGGTTTAAAAGCATAAGAGTAAAGCTAATGCATTCTTTAAAACTAATTAAAAGAGGACAAATAAACAACGCCCCCAAAAAGCAGATTCCAAGGCAGCCATATATAAGTATGAACGAACAGCAATAATTTTCCTTCTGTTACTAGGCTGAAGGAGACATTTCAGCAAATTTAAGAGTTCTCACTAACACTATATAGCAAGCTTTCATCTAAGGTCACTTTCAAACTCTGTACCTAATCTAATATCTTTAACTGGGGAGTGTTACCATAAGAATAATGGGAGGCATGTGGTCTTTGTGTTTTTATTAGTCGTGGGTGTTTTACATGAAGTTAAACCTATAGCCATGAAAGTGGTTATTTCTATGGTTTTTGATGGATGATAGGATAGGTAGACAAGAGAAGTCATTTCTATGGCTATTGGGGAATGATAGATTCTTAGACAAGTGTACTACAATTTCTCTGGAAAATTAATCACATCAATGATGAACACGAGAAACAGGTACCAGGAAACAACATTATACCATGAATGAAATGTTATCAACATGTGGACCATTTAGATCAGTAATTGTAAAAAATAGCAAAGCTGGGAAAGTTGATCCGTCTGGCCCTGGTGGGCTTGTCGTGGCAAAGGGCATCAAGATTTGAAAGAATTTTGAAGAAAGTTAAGAAATGCTCTGAGTCTCTTCTTGTTCATGTCCAATGGGCAAAATAATCTTTTTCAGCATAAAGATTGTTTTGCAGAGGTTGCAAAAGGATTTCTCAGTGGTTACACATGGTAACTATAGCAGCTTATTAAAGCTATCAAAATAATGCTGTGAATGAATTTTCGTAAAGCAAAGCTTCATTCACTTGGATTTTAATGTTTTGATTTAAAATGATTTTTAAGGATTTTTTATTATTTTTGGAAGAGACAACTTAGAAAACAATATATCATATAGCTTACATTCAACTGACATCTATTTAAGCCGATGATTCTCAACCTTCCTAATAACTGTGACCATCATGTTATGATAAGCCACAATCATAAAAGTATTTTCTTTGCTACTTTGTAACTCTGATTTTGTTAGTTATGAATCACAATGTAAGTATCTGCATTTTCTAACGGTTGTAAGTGAGCCCTGTGAACTCAAAGTTTGACAACTGATATTAGCATTAGCATAACTAGTCACTTCCTATATATTTGTGTTACATCAGAGCTTTACTTCAACCTCTTTTAGATTTAATATGCTCTAAGTTTCATCTTGAAAAGTAGCACGGGCTGTGTCACTATTGCAGGTGTGTTTATAAGTAAATTATAGTTTTATGGGAATATTCAATCTGAAAAAAGAGGAAAGGTGATCAATGTAAATACTTATATGTCACATACTAGCTTGGAGCAGTCAATAATAATATGGTTGTCACATACTAGCTTGGAGCAGTCAATAATATTATGGTAGCCATGGAAAAATATCAGTATAAAACCTGCCAAACGTGAGTTGGTCACACTGTTTGGCCGGCTTGAAGGGTGTTTACTTTTCCCTGGGTACATATCACAGATCCTTGCCCATTTAGCACCAAGCTGGCACTGACTGGCTAGGTGAGAGTTCATAGAAGACTGAAAGTCTGGAAAGTGCTACGATCTAGCCTGTATATAATTTAAACTAGATCAACATCTGGTACATGAAGAAAAATGGAAACAGATATGCAAGCCAGCCTGCACACACAAACTAGTGATTCTTAAAGAAACTATAACGTGACAGCTAAGATTTGTCACCTTGCAGGCAACCAGGTCTCAGCATCAAAGGAAAGGGACCTGCTTTTGCAACTTGTAGGTAGTGTTTTTCTCTGTTAGGGAAAGTGTTAATTTTGCTTAAAAATTATTATACAATAAATTACTATATAAAGCATTCCTAGTGATACGTTCCATAAATTCAGTAGTACCATATTTTGTATCAATTGCTTATTACTTTCTAACCTCAAGAAATAAATGCTACACATGGTGTAAATAGTCAAAAACCCTCTTACCTACAAACTTAGTTTGATTGACAAAGAGATTAATAGACTATATAATATTGATCAGTTTTGTGGCAGATGTGCCTTAAAATGTCTGCTTGTGTTTCTGTGTTGCCAAATGTTTACGAGGACCTGCCTAGGAGGTGAAGAAAATAGGGCTGAGGGAGTGGCAAAAAGATGTAAAAGCAGCAGGACCATCCTCTCAGGACAACCTTGGCACACTGTGGAAATAGGGAGAGGGGCAAGGCAGACAGGAGCTCTGTGCACATACAGCTGGTGATTGTCAGGGTATGGAAGTCTTCATTGTGTCCAGGAGTGATTGGCCATATCAATCTCAAGTATCTTAATTAAGGAAGGTAAATGACTAGATTATAATGAAGCTTTCAGTGTAGTCTAATGCCAAGTTGCTGGGTAAGCCTCCTTTCTTCTCTTTCCATTCTGAGCAAATTCTGTGCATGAAAGAAAATCCACCTCCTTGCTGTTTCATACTGAATAGCATATGTACTCATTGTTAAGAGAAAGCAGTGGCTTCTTTAACTTCATAGAATGCTATGTAGAACAGCATATAAAAGTCCACCTTGAAAATCATTTGACTAGGACAACTACAGTTCTTTGGGGGAGGGGCCTTTTCAGACTTAATTACATACCTTTAAAGGGAGTACATTTACTTATACTACATAATTCTCATCACTGTGGCACAGCAAACTTTAAAAAAACAAAAACAAGAACAAAAACAAAAAAACGTTCATTTGTTTCTTGTTTTGTACCATGTATCAAGCTAATACCATTTGGGATGAGCATAAATGCTACCAAAGGCATTTAAAGATTTGCAGTGATGTAACAAGGTTGACAGTTTTCTGAATGGTGGCTCCTACAGTATCTGGGACACAGGGGCACTGGAAGAATCCATATGGCCCAAGAAATGGGGAGGCTCATTATGAATTTGCAAATGTTATGTGTTAAGAACCTGCAGAAGAAAATCATTAGCATTATCACAGGGAAAGAAAAATCTTACCTTTGATGAGTAATTATAGCTTGGGCTGAAAGGACAAATTTACTTTAGGGATCTCAAGACTGTGAATTATTCCAAACAATATAAGAAGAAGACTATTGTAGTGAAAATACTTAGAATTCAGGTTACAAAAATGAAGCAGTAAAGAAGAGGAGTGACTTCTGTGACGTCGGACAGCTCCTGGCAGGATGTTCAGGCATGTCTATGTGATTCTGCATCAGTGTATTTAGGATGAAGACAGTTATTGCCCTTACAGAGTTTTATGATTCAAGCAATAAATTACTCAGGATAATGTCATAAGATGTTCCTGATAAACACACACTATTGTACTTCTGTGTATAATTTGAAAAAAAATCTCAATCTTCATTCTCCAATTAATCTCATAGAAAAAAATTTGGCAAAGTCCATAAACAATTGACTGATATTTCACAGAAGTGTCCTCCAGGAGGCCATTCTCTTATTGAAAGTGAGAAAACACTTCTAATTGCTTCCAAAGGTTTTTCTCTTTAAATTAAAGAAATCATAGAAATTCATCATTGCTTCATAAATCTTATCCACCAACTCTTCTTCCCTTACGAATGGTTAAGATTATATTTTTGAGAATTTAATACATACATACATACATACATACAATGAAATTTGCTTATATTCACCTCTCATTTCCCTCCATCAGCTCCCCCATATACTCGTATCATGTCCTCCTACCAGCTTCCTGTGTTCTTGGATCTTTCTTTTTTCTTTCTTTTTTTGCTTTACTATTTTAATTAGTTAATTAATTAATTTGTTCTTGGATAATCTATCAATGTGTGACCATCCATGCCCAACATCTGAATGGCCATATCTTCACAAAAAGATGGTTCTCCCTTCCCTACCAACAATCCACTGTCAATAACACCTCACCAAGGGGTGGGGCCTGAATAAAACAGTTACCTCTTTATAATATTTTCAAATTATTTTCTATTGATGTTTAAAAAAAATGTCAGGTTTATACAGTCACATCTACAGGCAGCCTGTGCTTTTCTGGAACCTCAGATGGCATTATGGGATACCTGTTTTTCTGACACAACTGTTAGAATGCTTTAGGGGTGACATTATACTATTAATATGAGATCTCTCCAGGTTGTTGATGTTAGCAGTAGTGTTATCAAATTTCTATTTTATGAAATAATGCGAAGAGTGTTGATGTTAAAAAATCTGAAAATTTAAAAGAAATGGATGAAATTCTAGTTAAATATGGCCTACCAAAATCAAATCAAGATAAAGGAAATAATTAAAAAAAAAACTTCTCCTAAACAAAACAAAACAGACAAAAACAACAACAAAACCCTCTAAGATTCAGAGAATTACAGTGCAGTATTCTACCAGACCTTCAAAGACGAACTAACATTAACATCTTCAAATAACTGCATAGTAGAAAAAGAATCACTTCTTAATTCTTATCAAGTTACTGTAACTCCCATACCAAAACCCAGACAAATACAACAACAACTACAAAAAGTAAATTATTTGCCAGTTTCTGTGATAGCTGAACTCCTGAGGGAATATATATATATATATATATATATAATTTATTAGTGCTCTGAGAAATTTTATCACAATGCTATTATCTGTGTTTATTCCATTTCTGTGTATTTGACTAATAAAAGACTATGAGTTCACCTTGGAAGGCAAATAGTATTTATACCTGACTATGAACAATATCATGATTAATATCAAGAAAATACACAGCTTAATACTAACAAAACAAATATTCATATGAAAAGAGATAAATTACAATTAAAGATAGATTTAAATATTAACATGCTGAAATGATCCAACTGATACTAACATGGATGTGTATGTAGCTGTCTGGAGAAAACGCAAGTATCTTGGTGCATGCAAGAGTCCTACTTACGCTGAGAAATGTAAGACACTCACCTTGCCAGGGTCGCAGTCAGTCCCATCCATTGGTGGGTCAAGCTTGGTCCTGCACTCTGCTTCCCCCTCCACTCTGCACCACAGACCTGTGCAGATAACATGCTGCAAACAGGGCATGACATCAGAAGGGGAATGATGGGCCCTGCTTTGAGCTGAGGTCAGTAAGTTCAGTTGTTGGGATGCAATAAAAATGTATTTGAGTGAAACTATGCTTTACCTTTCCTAATATAAAATATAAATGAAACAGTGCAGAGATTGTTTATAGGGAATAGACAACTTGGTATGTAACCGTAGAAAGTCTGCTCAATATATTTTAATTACAATCTTAAAAAAAATCTCTTGGTTATTGCAGAAAGATACATAAAATTATACAGCTAATAAACAGAAAAAATGTCAGGCTGAAAGAATAAACATTTATGTTTTTATTTTTCTACTTTTGCTGCGTGAGCACACTAGATAGACACTCCACCACTGAGCCCTCGGCCCAACCCTTACAGATTTCTACTTGTGTTCCTCATTCATACCTCTTTCCTAAATATCCCTTCATTGCATATGCCTTCCTTCATGCTTATACCTCACAGGTAATGTGCACAGTCTTGACCCTTACAGAATTCTATAGAAACATCTGTCAATCATTATTAGCCATTTTTACTGATGTATGAATACATTTCAGAACTTTGGAATATAAAACTTCCAATGAAATGTTAAAAGTAATACTACATAGCTAGACATGGTGTGAATAAAATAATTCTAAGGAAATGGGGGAAATAGGAAGAGTCTGGGGGGAATCCAGGAAAACGTTAACACTGAAGAAACTGAAATAGAGAGATTACCTCTAATCTTCCCACTATCAGACATGTCGGATTTGCCGTATCCATGGACTTTCCTTCCATTTGTTTTCTACTAAGGAGCAGGATTTCAATTCCTTTTTCTATGGACCTCGCTCCAGCTGCATCCCAGATGCCGCCCTGTTCCCTCTAATTTTCTTTGATAGATTTAAGCCTTTCTGTGTTGGATGACTCATGATCAGTTCATTAAGAATACATAGACCGCTCTTCACAAAGACACACAGAACTTCTCTCAGGTGCACAGCCACCTCGAGTGCAAACTCACTCTCTTCCCTCCCAGTTTTTTACTTTCCTACTCCCAATCTGGATGTCCCTAATAAAATGCCAGCAATATGGAAACCCCTCTCTCTGTGCATGGATTTGGTAGGATGACAACTGTGAAAATGGCTGTCTTACACAGTCTACAAATTCAAATCAACCCCCATCTAAATGTGTCAAATCAGTATGTCACAGACACAGAGAAAAGTCTTCACAATTCAGTTGGAAGATTATGAATGGAAAAGACTGGAAGGAACAAGAGTGAAGAAACAGACAAAGAGGGGAATTAACCCTATGTACATGTAATAAATCTCTTTTATTCCGAAGGAGTTGGGAAAGAACCCACTACACAACTAAAGATGTCATGTAAATAGAAAAATGGATACCGTTATCCATGACCATAAGGCTGATAAGTAGAAAGTTATTTCCAGGGGCTCACTCAGAAGATTGTGTATAGAATGGATGGAATGACCCCAGATTGAACTGAACATATAATTGGAAGCACTAAATATACTGGTAGACATATTTAAGCTAATACTTCAAACAAAGTCATTATGAATCTAATGCTAATTCTTCAGAACTCCTAAATTACTATTTTGGCTCTGTTTAGGATTTAAACTTATAAACTCTTTGTAATTTCCTAAACTTCTAGTATACTAGGAGAAAGGCCAAATTTGTTTATTCTTTTTTCTTCTATCAAAAAAAAATCCTCACATCAAAATATTTTGTGCAAACACATCTTACTTTATTTTGAATATGGTTTATGCCAACCCTTCTGTAGATCTTTTCCAAAAATTCATCAAGGCAACTGCTTTAAGAATCTGAATAATCTTGCTGCTTTTTGATGCTTTAGGTTCCTGGAAACCCCCAAATTTCAGGCTTTATCATTCTAGTTCCTAAATATTTTACCTTCTGACATTCTTTTTAATACTTTTTTTCTTGTAATTAGAGAGTCAAATGCTGTATTCCCACCAAAGGATGGCTTTGAACAATGAAGTTCATTTGTGTTCAAGTAAAAAATTACTTAGCTTTCTCAGTCAAGTAAAGAGCAAATCTTCTACAGTCTCACTGCAGAACTGACCACTGTTGGTGGTCCAAATTCTGACCTTCAACCATTAGCACTTAGCTCTTCAAAACAGCAGGTGTTCTAATCGATTCCCCCCTGGAAGCACTGAGAACATAAACAGCAAACCTGGCAGCTTTTCAAGATAAGCATATGTGAGTATAATAAATCACATAGAGGGGAATCTCTTGGATACTTTGTGTTCCGCAGGCCTAGAGATCTATGTTAACCTATAGTCTCAATCTTCTGAAGAATGCCAGTTCACTTCAAGTTGACCTCTCCAGAGCAAGTGAAGAATTGGTATAGACTGTTTTAACCTTTAAAGGGCAGTGTGTCAGATGTCTGAAGTTAGTGCTGTGTGTCTTTTCTAAGGAGAGGGTAGGGTAGGATAGGGCAGGGCAGGGCAGGGCAGGGCAGGGCAGGGTAGGGTAGGGTAGGGTAGGGTTGGGTTCAACATTATAACAAAGCATTCTCTAGATTACACAGCCACCAATCAAAATTTTAAACTTGGTTGTGGAAGATCTCTTTGTTTTTCAGTTAAAAGAATTTTAATACCTCAAACAGTATGCATGGAACATGTAATCACAAATAACACAACCCAGCAATATTCATGGTTTAATCTTTTAGAATGACAAAATGTCCTTTCAAACGCATAATGTGATTTTGGGTATTTATCTCAAATAGGCTTTTCATAGGTATACACACATATACTGTATTATACATTTAAATGTGAAGTTAGCTCTCTCTGTATAAATATCATAAATTTTTCTTTGTAGCAAATGGTTCCATTAAAATCTTTTCAACTTTTTTTTTTGTCAAAATAAATGATCTGAAGTCATATAATCCAAGTAGTAATTCATCATTAGTCATGTAACTACTTGCTTTTAAATGGATTTCCTCTAAAACACAATCTCAGGATCTCCACTTATTATTGCAAATACAGCCTGTTTGTAAAATTGTGCTTTTTAAAAAATCTTTTCAGTCAAAGTGTGTGTTAGTATACTATCACCCAAAGAGTTAAAATTGATTAGTTGCCCTACCTGTGAAAAACATTTCTGGTCCCTCAAATAAATCATTTTAAGAACCTGGCCTCTTAGCTAACAAAAGCTCTCTGCAAAGAAGAATGAGAGGCCACACGTCTAAACACACCAGATGATGGATGTCTATCTTAGACTGGAAATGTATGAACAAGAAATTTTAGTGATGGCTATATTATATGTCTATATTTAAATACATAACGAATAGAGCACTCAATAAAAAATGTAATGCACAATGAGCAAGTGGTTTTTTTCTAAGTTTTCATATCAGTTAATTGAATAATGTAACCAGGGCCAGGAATTACTTTAAATTCTGTGTTCTATATATTCACATAAAACATGTTAACATTTCTATACTTTATTTTTATTTTGTTAAAAAATATTTCTCACTTATTTGTATGAGACAGGGGACCTGCATACACGTGGGAACTGGTTCGCTCCTTGCACTGGTGGGTACTGGGGACTGAGCCTAGCATGTCAAGCTTGGTTGCAAGCTCCTTTACCGGCTGAGTCTTTTTGCTGGCCAACACACTGCTTTGTTAAAATCACAGCATATAATCCTTTGGATTGTGTGAAATGCCTATAATAAAAACCCAAATGAACAGTGATGGTTTTCTTTCAAGAAACAGAATTCAGCAAAGAAAACAATCTGAGTCAATGTAAGGAAATGAATGGCTCTATAGTCAAGCAAAACCTAAACAGAAACACATACCCCCCCCCGAAAAACAAACAAATAAAAACCCTATTGATCTAAACTACTGAACTAAGCTAAAGTTTCCTCCAAATCCCATTCAAGAAAACTTTTTCCCACTTAAAAAAAAGTGTACAAAGGACACTTGTATGCCGTGTTCCTTCCATAGGAAAATAAAATATGATATCCTAGCCAAGGACTAGAAGTCATGCCATGGAGAAAGCCCAAGAAAATGAACAGAAACTTAACCAAGCAGACAGCAGAAGGCAGCGGTCAATAATGCTATTCTTCAACTGTAAAGCTTCACCTAGTAGCAAGCAGCACTAAGCATCTAGCTCACTTGCATCCGGGAAATGCTTGTACCACTGTCAGGGAAGTAAGTTTGCTGATTTCTCTTTCACTGTTTCCACCTTTGACGTGTTTCAGGATTACTAGAAACAGATATATTGGAAGTTTTAGAAGGAAAATTCAGAGCATGCACAGCCAGTTGATAAAAGGAATAAGCTACAAAGGACCGTTGGGCAGAACACATCAATCATGGAGAAAGGAAGAAGAAATTATTATAATTGCTAGAATTTAATTAATGAAGCCGTAATGAAAAGAATAACAAGAGTCAAATATTTGTTTGCAAGAGAGAAGATTTGGAGTTAGAATTCTAGATAATGAATGAATGAATAAATAAATGAAAAGCCTCCCTCAAGAATGATGTATTATGTTTCCAGAATGCAAGTTGCCAGTGCTCTGGGGAGAAAACACAAGACTGAAAAACAAATCACCAAGCAAGTTAGCTCCCTTTACAGTTTTGACTGTGGAGCTGCTCTCTGTCATAGCCTGGCATCAGGAGGCTGGAACAATGGTGAAAGATATGGTACCCTAGATACAGAACCTGGGTGGTCAAATCTGTTGCCACTAAAGATGTAACCCCAGAGGCAAGGGGACTGAAAGAATCTGTCCGTTACTGGCACTGGTCTTAAGGAATACACAGGCCACATTACAAATGCCACTTAAGGCAGGAGAAACCTGACTGACAGTGGACAATGCAAAACTTCTGGTTTAAATATAGTTGACTTAATTAACTGTGAGGAAAAAAAGAAAAGTAGTGACTGGGGTGGGAGGGACACCAATACCAAACATCCTATTCTTTCATGGAAAATAACAAAATGCAGTCTGGACACCAGAGTTAGCACTTTTTTTTGTTTGTTTTTTATTTTCCTAAAACCTACCACATATCATGTATTTCATGCTTTGGGGTCATAAGGCCTGTGTTTAACGCTACCATTGTAATCCGATCACAGCCATAGAGCATATGTAAACAAATATGCATGCCCACACTCCTGTAAGATTTTAACTTACAATTTCAGGAGCTAACTCCCCAGGACACAGTGCTTCCCCTTGCTTTAAAATGAAGATCAATTTCTATCCCACAGTTAGATATTAGTCATCTGTGAAGAGCTCGGAAAACATGATACTTTCCAAAGAAAAATGAAACCATTGAAGCCTCACATGAGACAAGAGTTGCATTTCTCCCACTTTAAACTGGCTTCGTAGACATATTGAATGAGGTATAAGAAATGTCTGTGGAACGGGTTCTAAGAAGAGACAAAGGGGTCCCAATGGAGACCCACTTTTCATTGGAAAAAAAAGGAGGTAAAGGGGGACTCAATGGAGACTCACTTCTTATTAAAAAAAATGTTGGGTAAATAAATCACAGAAGAGATTATGTGGAAAACACTCAGTAAAACCAAAAATAAATGAAATGGGATTATTAAATCTGAATTTATGAATGAGAATACTGAAAAGCAGAGGAAATGCTCAGGAGACATGACACATGAGGCCACCCTAGTCTCGACATGTTTAATAAGGTCATTAGGAGGAGAGAAGACAGAAGAGGAGGGACAGAAATGTGTTCAGAGAAATGATGGCTATGCACTTCCTACCAAATTCCACAAGAGACAGGAATACGTTAGAAGTACAGGCATGAAAGAGAAGGAAACACCTTTGGGAGGGCGAGAAAGCAATTGCCAGGCACGCATCTCGTGTAAGAAATATATTTCTATGTGACCAGACATTTTCAGATGAAGGGAAATTTACTGTGAGCAAAGCCCAAATGGAAGTTAGCAGGAGAAAAGAAACAATCCATGATGCAGGACAGTGAGAAGGATGAGGATCTAGGCAAACGAGCGCACAGATTAATCACTGTTTAAACAGCGCACCAATGTTGAAGGAGACTCTGTAACACTGTTTTGTGGTTCACAATGTGCGTAGATTTGCATATATGATGACTACGGCATAAAGCAGAATGCACGTCTGTGGCTACATGTTCCATGTTTCTATTCTCCAAGTGAAAAGGAATAACCTAAATGTATGTAGACTGGGAAATATTTGGTGCTTATATTTTCAACCCTAAAGCTGAGTTTAGTAAACCACTGGGGCCTGGCCAACTCCTTTTGCCAACAGAGCTTTACTATACTCCTCCCATGTTCGCTCCCTTCCATGCTGTCTCTGGTTCACTAGCTAGCACAGCACACTGGAGGTGTAACAGAAGCTATCCTGACAATGAGGCCCTTGCTGTTTGGTTCCTTAATTAAAACCATGTGATCACAGCCTAGCCCTGGGTGAGAGCAGGCATTTCAACAAGGAGAAGTGTCACAGTAGAAGCTAAAAGTGTAACATGTTAAGAGGGGTGTGTGTGTGTGTGTGTGTGTGTGTGTTTAAAAAATTAGAAAAATTAGGAAGATTTCTGGAGACTTAAAAAATTAAACAATATTTTGAATAATGTTTAATGTAAAATAGGACACTACCTACATACTATTATATACTATGTAATGCTGAGAAACAGATTTTGTTTTTTTTTTAAAAAGAATCTCCTAAGCAATTAGACATTCAGAGATTTTTAAAAAAGCATATAACAATCCAAGTGAGTTTGTGACAAATAACAATAAGAACTAAGCAAACAGAAAATGAAAGGTAGAAGATGGTTCTACTGTGGACATGACCACATTACTTTAAAGACTCCCTCTCAAAATTCTGTTTTTATAAGAAATAATTAACACTTTTTGATTAGGGATAGATGGGTCTTCTACCAACTATATAACCATATATTATTTTATTACATTTTTTCCAATGAACACTTATAAAAAGCTTAATTTTAAAATAGAAAAGTTATTCTAGCATAACATAAATGCTTGCCTGACTTGAGTGGTTTTGGTTTTGGTTTTTTGAACTAGAAACTTCTGGGTCTCTCTTCTCTGACTTAGTCCTTTATTGTTGCTGTTGACTTTTTTTTTTTTTTAAAAATAGCTATGTCTTATTACTTTTACTTCCAAAGTGTAAAGAAAACAGCAGGGTTTATGGGGTTAGTGGTACAAAGTCTAGGGTCCCTGCGTGAAATAAGTTGGGTCAGAATCAGGACAGGAAGGCAGGCAAGGATCCTGTGGACCTCAGGAAGATTGTAGATTTGGGTTGAATTGCCCAAGTACTTTTTCTCAAATATTTCTTTTGAGGTTTGGCATGATTTAGTTCAACACATACTAAATAAGCTCATCTCCTTCACCAGTGAGTTATGCTAAACAATGAATGTGAGAGGTCACAGATGGCTGCCTGTGGTCCTTACCTGCATCTCTTGACAAAAAGAAGCCAAAGGCCCAAAGAGGATCTGGCACTGTTCATCTGCAGTGTAAGCCATCCCTGGCAGTTTTGAGGGAACCAGCACAGAACTCAGACTCTGTGGATCTGTATGCAACAAGCAGCTACTGGCCTTTGACCTGTTCACATGCAGATACAAAATTTTTATTTAATTTGAATTTAATGGAAACAGTCATTATGCTTACTTGGTAAGAAGAAACAGTTTCATAATAAAATTAAAATTTATTATTTAATAAAATACTTAGTAGCTCTGCCATTGAATACTTGAGAATGAATTTTGTATCTGAGAATACTTTATTTATGACAAGCTAAGATAATCCTAATAACAGTACTATTCAAGTTAACAGAATATTTTGAGTATAAGCACCATCCATAGGAATCAGTTCAGCTGCTTTACATTAGTTGTGATGCTAGCATGATTTATGCATTTGTAAGCTATATTAATTAACTCAGACTCAACAGTACCTTTCCCCAAAGCATCATATGATATCTGCTTTACATGGGGATTTAAATGAATCATTTTCTAAGGAATAGTAATAGTTGGGACATGATCGTACTTGACATTGTGATACAGCTTCTATGTTTGATGCGACATTTAATTTGATCATAGTCTTGACATACCAAGACAGTTGTGCAAGTCTTGCATGTTCCTCCAGAATAAGCTAAGAGGTGCTACGAATGTGACTGACTGCTGCTAGCCTTTCTGAGGTATTAATGCTTTGAATGACATTCTGAGTTGTCATGACAAAGAGCAGGTTCAGACTCTCCTGAACCACTTTTGGAATAGAGATGCAGTTATGCAATAAACATATATTTTAAACAAAGATTTTATCCTTTGAAAGTTTTGTACCTTTATAGAATATCTATTGATCATATCTATCCATCACCATTTCCTTCCAAATTCCCCTAATTCCCTACAGAAGTAGTTAAAGCAGAGGCCAAGTGTCAAATTTACATAACTCAGTCCTCAGCTGTAAGTAGTTCTGTAGCAACTTATCAACTTCACATGATCCAAGCTTTGGACAGCTTCATGGAAAAAGAGGTAAGAGTCAGTAATCAGTGGAACCCTGTGAACTGCTGAGTTCTGGGCATGGTATAGATGCTTTGAGCAACCACTTGCACCTGGAAGAGTTGCCTGGCTAAGACCCACAGAAGATCAAGCCAGTCATAATTCCTGCATGGATGGGGGAGGAGTTCCAAGGGACCCACTACCAGAGCAACTGTTAACAACAAATGGCTGCTGAGGGAGGGAGTTATTCTCCTTTGGGGGCGTGGCCACTGATAGGTTTCTCATGACCCCGAGGATGACCACACCCATGCACATACAGGCAACCCCAAATAAACATTATATTTTACCATACGTTAATATCTAATGCATAAAATAGGGTCACCTATTTAAAGAATAGGGATAAAAGAATAAAGTTCATCATCATGGTGACTTAACTAGCTAGGCATTTGTGGATTTCTAGTTTTAGATTTATGGAGAGCTTAAACTTACTGCTACACATAACACATAGTCTTTTACCTGATCCTTTGTCGAAAGCATAGACAAAGTACAAGTACTTTACAACAACAACAACCAAACAACAACAACGACAGTATTCTCCACTTCTCTTTCTGGCAAGATAGATGCTGTTATTCCTGATAGATGTGTACAAGAAGACTAAGGAGTCCTGTGGGCCACAGAGGCTAGAACTTCTTCTGAGTAAAAAAAAGTATGTACAGTCTAGAAGTATCATAAATGAAAATAGGAGTTCATTTAAGGCAGCAGTTCTCAACCTGTGAGTCATGACCCCTTTGGGGATTACACATCAGATATCCTGCATATCAGATAGTTACACTACAATTTGTTGACAGTAGCAAAATTACAGTTGTGAAGTAGAATCACAATACTTTTGTGGTTGGGGGTCAATGAAACAATGAAGAACTGTATTAAAGGATTGAAGCACTAGGAAGGCTGAGAACCACTGGTGAAGGTATTCCATGTTCTAACAGGTGTGTTATGGGATATATAATGAGTCTGTTTCGACTCAGTAACATAGAAGAGGCAACTACATTTGGTGACATTCGGTGACAGCCTTTTCATGTTTATAGGAATTTTCTAACTTTCAAATCATCTTGTACATCTTTTTGTCTGAGAAGTATGAGAACTAAAGATCAGATGAGTTAACCTATCAACTCTAGCTCATACTGTAAGTCAACGAAAGAGGGTCAGAATCAACAGCTCTGTTTCTACAGTGGTGGCCATTCCACCTTGTCATGTTGTTTTTACTGGTTAACAGAGTCAGCAGGAACACACAAATGTTCACAGTGGAAAACATAATATTAATGACCTTAGTACCTGAGAAATCTTTCCAAATCTTCCTTGCTGCACCTGGACCACGAAACATCACCAAGATTTTGTCCTTTGATCCATTCACCAGACATGATATGAAGACCATCAGCACAGGATGGGTGGTCATTGTCGTGATTGATGCCCATGCTGATTTTAAAATATGATTGAAAGAAAAAGATCCATATTAAACAAGTGGTATTTTTTTATCTCTTTCATGACTACATTGGTATTATAGTCAAAATATGTAATAAGAAATTTAGTTTTGAAGAAATTAATTCAAAGATACGATTGTATTTCAAATTAGAATGTTTTAAATATTATTATCTAAGTTTAAAATAAAAATGTAATTTGATTAAGAACATTTCCCAAACATCTTAAACATGCATGCTTATATATGTGTGTATATATATATATATATGAAACTTATCAGTACGCATATTTTTTCTTTGTATTTATATGAATAAAAGTATCAAATTTTCATTTAATCTCACTGGATTCTGAAACCAAACTGAACTACTGATCTTGGAAGATTTTCCTCATTAGCTCCCTCTTCTACCACACATCTCAAATAATAAGAATACCTTTCGGAAAACTTTGTTACCATTGTTATCTTTTCTGTTGAATCGTAAAGAGAGACCCTTACAATTTAGCTTGACTCTAAATAAGTGATTTCTATCTTCAATAGAACCTAACTGAAGTTTTTTCTCTCTAAAACTTCTATTTAGACTTGTACTCTTTTTCCTCTGCTGCTTTGTTATGATTTAGGTAGCTATTGTATTCCAAATTATCACCACAGCAACGCTTGACCCTCCTAATCCCAAACAATCACTGTGCCTGTGAGATGCTTTAGCCCAGTATAGTTCTAAATAGTTCTCTCAACTGTTATTGCCTTTCAATATCTATTGCCACCTAAAGGAGATCATAAAACATTCTTACTAGACAATGGAGACAATTTGTATGACATTCTTCCTGGGTCTTATCCCAGTATGTTTTACTGGCCATCCTCTTTCGTTTGCTTCCACTATACAATAAAAGCTGACTTTAGCACTCATCTGTCTTCTTATCTCCTGTTATGGCAGTTTCCAGATGACCCAGTGGAGACCTCGGCCCTTCGTCTTCTGCCATTTCATTTATTACAAATACCTTGGGATTTCTCAACTATGCTTCTTACTTTCTTGTAATTCACTATTACTTAGCACTTCCTTTGCTTTTTATATCTACTGTAGGAGGACCCTGCATCGTTTCTGCCTTAATATAAAATATTTTAGTGCAAACAAGACACTGAATGCTTTATATGGGAACCCTGTCTCAAAATAAACAAAGCAACAACAAAATAAATGCACAACGATAGCAAATGAAGAAGAGGGGGGTGTGGGGAATGAAGAGAGCAATAGAGACAGAAACCGAGACAGAGAGACAGACAGAAGGAGAGCAATAAAGAGAGAGACAGAGACAGGGACAGAGAGAGACAGAGAGAGACAAGAGAGACAAAGAGAACAGTGACAGCAGTAACTAATGTGCTTCACAAGACTCTCCGCTCCAGCATGAGAACAGAAAACTCCCACAGTAACTCCATGTCCCACAGGACTCACCCCTAAGAACACAAGGACAGGGAATTTCCATAGTAATTATCTGTTCCACAGTGGTTTTCCCCGTGAGCATGGGAGTTGAGACCTTCCACGTAACAACACACTCCACAAGCTTTACCTCTAAGAACATGGAGATGGGTACTCAACATCGAAATGAATTATTGATCCCCACCCTCTCCCCTAATCATATGTAGACAGAAAATGTCCACAGTAATATGCACTCCACAGGCATGATCCCTAAAAACATAGCGACAGGAAGTGTTCATATTCATTATGTGCCACATTGGTCTCACTCTCAAGTGCATGAGAAGGCATGGCAGTCTCTTCAGTGAGAAATCACTGAAGCAACAGTAGTGAACATAAAAATCTCTGTTGAGATGAACATAAGCATTTCCCACCTTGTAAGTAACCCGATGGTTTAGGAGTAATTGCATATTTGGCTGGTGAAGACTTGCTTACAGTTGGAAAGAAAAGAATGAGAGGACATATGGTTTACAAGGCTGGAAACAGCCCTCACACACTGGGCATTGTACGTTCCCCTCCATCCCCTGGACCCCAGCATGTATTCAGGCTTTGAGCCCAACCAGATTCTACTTCAGATTCAATGTTTCTGCAGTTTATTTCCAAAAGACTTAAACTAGTTTCTCCCTTGACTACTTGTATATGGCATTATCTTACCATAAGATTTTGTGGAGACCGACGCTTTCTATGTTTTATTAGATATTATTAATTCTTATTTTCGAAATTCTTGAGCACAAGGAACTTTTAGGATCCACAAATGTCTGACACACAGAAGTTACACTCTTTATAGCTCAAGTAGAATTTCTTCTTTTTAAGACAAAATTCTTTTAATGTTTAATTAATTCTCAAATTTAGGATTTCAGTGTAATGACTCATGAAAAAGGGATAATAGTGAAGAAGCAGAGAGAGTAAGGTTTGCTTAATATGTTCAAAGTTTCAAACAATGGCATGATAGTGCAATGTTCTATATTCTCTGGCTCTGTTCTAGATCCAACATAAAGTCTTGTAATGAAAACTTGAAAGAATATTTATATTTTAGTTTAAAATACTAAGTTAAAGAATTTTAACCAAAGTTGTTCTTTGTGATCACAATTAAACTTGTTGTAAAAGCAAAATTAAAATTAATATAAAATATTAAAATGTAAATTAAATATTTGAATAAAATTTATTATGACAATAGACTTTGAAAGAGGAAGTTAGCACTCAGTAAAAAATCCTATCTGTATTCTGGGAAAAAAGATACTATTAGGTATGATAATTTTAGCTATGATCATTTTGATTAGATAAAACTAACAAATGCACTATCAAACGTAACTATTCACTGTCAGAACAAGAAATCAGTCACTAGTGAATAATATTTCCATTTTTAATGAACATCTTTGAATTGCGTCTGTATCACCACATATGAATATCATGATTAACATAGTAAGAGAAATGAATTCAAAGTTTGATAACCATAAGAAAAGTAAGAGAGTGTATAGGATGCAAATAAAACAGTCCCACTGAGAAAAAGACAAGATCTGGGCATTAGAGTGAGTTTTCTCTATATTACTCTATCTACAGGAAGAGAACAAATTAAAAGCTAGTAGCAAAGCAACTGTGAACAGGAAAGACACTCTCCAACTGGCCCTTTATTCACAGAAGAATGATGGAGATTGTTGATATAGTGACCCCATGGGGTAGAGAGTAAGAGAAACTTTTTACTTTCTTTTGACAAAATATATACAGAGACAAAGGTGATTTGCTGTGTTTGCTGCATTTGTTAAAAGTATGAACTTAAGGCTCATTAAGAGAAATTTCAGAGCAAGAACTACGTTGCTTGGTTATTGAATTTAAACAAGTTGAGAGGGCAAGGTGGTGGGGAGGATCTGAGAGGAGTTACTGGAAAGGAAGACGTGATGAAAATGTATGTATGAAAAACTATAAGTAAAAAATAAAATAAATAAATAATAAATAAATAAAGTAAAATAAGAAAAAAAAACAAGCACCTATAAGCTTGGCACAATCTCAGAGAATAACCAGGATAGATTACTCTGTCAGCAATATCTCACTTCTCATGCAGGTCCCGATAGTATCAGTACATCATTTCCCTGTTAGATCCTGGCTATGGCATGCATGCTCATTGGATACCCCTTGAGTTAACAGCCTCTGACTGTGTATAATATGATCAATTCTTCTCTCCTAGAGAGGAGGTCTTCAGAATAATGAACAAATGTTGGCATTTTACAAATGCAGTAATAAAACTTCTTAAGTGGTGTATTCATTTGGGAGATTTAACTTCCAAGACTCAACAATTTGCCCATTTCCAAAGAGCTGATATGATTTTCCAGTTGAGAAACAGAGCAAATTCTTACTCTGATGGCCAGTTTCCTTCTGGTCATGATGTTGGAACTTACCTTTAGCTGTGGAGAGAGCTGATGATGGAATTATTACTTACTAATATTTCCTGAACATGTTGGATTTCCTCCAGAAAAAAAATTATCAATAAATTGAGATATGTCTATTTTGAAACACATCTGGAGTCACCAGGAAACATTGCTAAGACTTGATTCCACCACTCTTAAATAAAACAACTGTGCATTTTTTCTGTGCTGATCAACACATTAGTCATTAGAATGATATCATTTCATCATCATAATAGCTGCATAATGTTCCGTTACAATAGCTTCAACTTTACAGATGAGGACACCGCTGAGGTCAAGGAGAGATCAGTGACGTAGATGTATGTCCACTCAGTCCAGTGCTCAATCAGACAGACCTCTAAATCACCTAACTCCAAGGCTTCTCTTTCTGGACCAAACTCCATTTAAACAGATGATTTTTGTTCTGAGGATTTTTTTTTAATGTCTCCCATTTAGCAGAAACACTTCTCTCCACATCAAGCTCCGGATCCACATAATACCACGTAATATACATTGCACGGAAAACTGTTTCAAGTAAGGCCTAGTAACACCTCTCTTCACGCTGTGCAACTGAGCTACATTTTAATAATCTCAGTTTAAATTCATCTCAACAAAAAGCCTTGGGCAAATAAACCTCTCTACGAACATTGTACATGGTTGTCAAGTCAACTGAAAAAATATTTTTATCTTATAAAACTTCTCAACTTGTTTAAAAGTCCCTGCCAGGAAGTTTTTGTGATATCCTGCGGAAAGCTGGAGACTGGTTTGGATCTTGAAGATGGTCCCTTTTGATGTTGGAAGAGTTGGAGAACACATGCATTCACTCCCATTTTGGGAGTAATCTGGAAAGGGTTTGATTTGTAAACAGTAATATTTTAAAAAGAAAAGAGTTTTTCTTTAACTGAGGAGGTGGGGAGAATAAAGGAAAGATAAATAGCAGCAAAGATGTTTTCAAAAGCAATAGGGAAATATATTATTTTTAATCTGCCTTAAAATATATATAATATAGTCTAAATATATAATATTATATATAATATTTATATATTCTGTATATATAGTTTAAATAAAGTTTTGCCCTATAGTGTAATAATGCTTCCCCAATGAAGCCACAGATTAAAACAATATCTACCACTAGGCTTGGAAATCTCGCTTCCAGTTGTTGGTTAGAGCAGTCCAGTATACTACAAAATAAAATAGTCTTTGGGTCAGTTTCTGCTCTGCAATTGCACCCAGTTGCCTCCCAGATCTTGAAGGTAGACCTTGTTGCAGAAGACACCATAGACTTGAAGGAATAAAGCAGAAATGGACCCAGAATACTCCTCCACAAAGATTAACTCTCACTATCAGAAGGCATTATTCCAAGTGCCAAGCAAGAAAAGAAGTAAGAGTCTTACTCAGCTATAAGGCCTGATAGCATAATAATGACCAGAGTGTAAGACATCCCCAAAAGTGTAAGAGTGACACTATCCTTAGAGGTAACAAACAATTGAGTGACTAACTTAGGGGATACTAAATAGAAGGGTTCATGCTGGTGCCAGAAAGTTAACCAACTACCCATAGTGGGAGAGGTCATAGACCCTACAGGAGAGCCTTCTACTATCATTACTTTCAAAGCCAATAAAATTCCTAACACTCATACACATAGGTAAATACAGCTCTCACCCCTTATCATAAAAGCTTCTTTTGTAGCAGATGGAGGCTACTACAGACAAACACACTGTCAAAATACACAGATGTGACATTTTGGTACTTAGAGTCAACTGGTATACCTACAAGGTAATCTTTACACCTACCTACACCTACAGCTCAGGGAACAGCATGGAAGGGGGACAGGAAGATAATAGGAGCCAAGGACCAGGAGAGTTGCTGTAAGATAATGTCTTCTAGACTTGACAAGGAATCTGCACCCATGAAACCTCAAGAATATAGCTGCCTAAAAAAGATTCTCATAAAAGTACAGTTGAAATGGCAATTTGGATGGGGAAAGTGTACCAAGGCCTCCTCAGCCCTAGATAAAGAGCTACAGTAATTGCCTAGAGAGGGACAATCAGTTTCTTTCAAAGAAGAACACCCAGATCATCCAACCCCAGCCATCATATATATATATATATGTGTGTGTGTGTGTGTGTGTGTGTGTGTGTGTGTGTGTGTGTGTAGCACTAAATGCATGCAGTATAACAATAATAATTAAAGAGTAAGGCAAAATCATAAGAAGGCAACATGGAAGGTTAAGAGGGGAAAGAAGAGAAATAATGCAAATACATTTTCGTGTATGAAATTCTCAAAAATTAAATTTAAAAGAGGTTCCTCTGGCGACTGTGTTAATATTTTTCATGACATAATATTTTTCACTAGAAGCTGTATACTATATGGAAAAATAAAAGAAGAAACAAGTGATCTCTATATCTAACTGGAAGTAAATTGGTTTCCATAAGACAACATTCGATCCTACTGAATATATAAATATATCTGATTGGATGTAATTGCACTGTTGTATCCTAATGAAAAAATGGTTAGATATTAGGAATTACAAAATAATTTATATTTATTATTTCATTTTAATTTTAATCATTTAATTCACTTTAATTTGCAAAAAAACCCACCATGAAACACGTATTTCTATTAGCATTTCTAAGACCTATGTGAGACAAGGCAACACATGTGTTGCTATGTGTTGAGATGTGTGCTAAGATGCTTTCCTGGCACATAGGAAGGCTTGGGTCCCATCTCCAGTCCAAATGTAAAAAAATGATAGAGGTGTAAAAAAGGAAAGAAAAGGGCATTCACCAACATTGTGGTGAGGCTGCCTACTGATGGTGTTTCCGTTTAAAGAGCACAAACTACTCCTTGGTGCTATAGGAGATGGCATCACTGATACAATCAAGACCAGGCTCTACCAAAAGTACATTAATTATCCACTGAGGGTGGGACATTCCTGCTTGCTTAGCCCACATCCTAAGAATGTTTTTAAAATTTTCCTTCCTGTCTCCCTTTGGCTGCCTCTGCTGCCATCCATGATGACAATTGCTGATCCTATCCAACTGTAGACCAAGAGTCCAGCCTCCAATGTAAAGTCCTTTCATTTCTCTCGACGAGAAGAGAGCCTGGAAATGTGACGGACAGGGTAATTACATAGACATGAGGTTGGTTAGACTGCATATTCCCTGGCCTTACTACCATTAATTGAAAGAGAACACTGATACATAGAGCATAAGAAATCTCACTATAGTACATTTTCTGGATGATTCTTATTTACTCAAAGTCCTGAGAAACAATGATACACTAGCTAAAAATCTATTCTTTAAACCATTATTCAAACCATCTGCCAAAAGACTTCAATTCACTTTTGCCTGGGACAGTTAGCGCTAGCCGAACTTGTCATCACTCTCTAATATGCTTTCCTGTGCAAATCTTCATTCATGCTTCAACTCAAAATCTAACCTTTCAATACCTACAAAGGACTGTTCAATAACTGGGATGTTTAGGTCCACTTTTCTAGTGACCTTCAATATCTGTGTCCTTAAAATACAGAGTATGTTACACATAATTAGTACTAACTATTGGGTTTGGTAAATATTAATAAATATCTATAAACAATTGCTGCCTAGAAGGTGTTTAAAGTTGCCATTTTAAAAATTGTCATTTAACACTTTTTCCTTGAAATATTCAATTTCTTACCAAATGGATATGTACTGTTCTATCAGCAGATATAAAATTATAGTAGTAACCATCCTACACTGAGAAGAAAAGTAAAAATATGCAGATGTCTTCTGAGAAACTTTGAGCAAAGGATTCCATGTCTCTTGCCCCCTTTACCCACTCAGGTAAGAAACGTATGACCCTAGTCAACATGTACGTGGTGGAGGAAAATACATCTTGTTTGCTATAGAGACTTCTAGAATACAACACAGTAACACTAAATTTACCTAAATTTGTAACTAACTTCGATGAGATAAGGGCTACTAATTATAAAAAATTAATTTTGAATTTCAGGAGCAACAGATTTCTAGAGGTTAAAACTTTATCTGTTAGTACAATCAGTTATTATTGTTGTAAAAATCCCACTCTATAAATCTTAAGAGAAAACAGTTTCCTGATTCTTAATTTATTTATATACTAAAAAATTTTGGCATATAGCCATTGTACACAGTATTGGCCATATTGAGATAGTTTCCTTCCAGTATATTACATGATTTGACCACACTCATACCCAAACCCTCCCCTTACCCTCTACTCCCTTCTTCCTGCCAATCTCCTCTCCCAGTCTCCCTTATGATTTCATGTCATAAAGTATGCAGTTTTATGCATTTGGACACGATTTTGGATTGCAAGTGAGAGAAAATGTGATATTCGTCTAGGCTGCATCAGGCTAGTTTCACTTAATCTGAAAATCTCCAGCCGCACCCATCAAATATTCCATGTTCATCCTGCTTTATGCCTGATACAACCCTACTGCATTTTCATATCTTATTTTGTAATTTCTTAACTTGTGGAGAGATTAATAAATAATAACAGTAAACATAGGAGACTGAACTGAAGACAAATGTCTGTTTACATCTTGATTATCCTTCTCAGTAAGACTTGGCTAAACCTGACATTTCTACTGCTGAAGTGGTTCACATTATATTCAGAATGAAGTCTGTTCCCAGTCTAGAACTTTCCACTATAATAATCTTCCTGAAAACACAAGAGGAGCTTTTGTGTAATTTTAATCCTACAGATGCCAATCACAAAAGTATTATACCCAATCTACTGAATGAAACCTTAGGTCCAAGGATAGCTGCTAACCTAATGTAGACATCCGGAAGTGGATGACTTGCATTCAGTGGCTTGTGAATAAGTCCCTACTCCAATTGGCACCATTTTTATAGCCTTGAGAGCATAAATAAAATTCTTTATATTTCTAACTATTTTTGCTATTAGTTGGGAGTCCTGACAACATTCAGTCACAAGATTATTCCACCAAGATATATGCCTACATATTGTTCATATGCCACTGTCACCAATTATCATTGGGATTAATGACAATGGCAGAGCTAGACTTGCAGGCCCTGTGCCCAGCAGTATATGGCCCACACAAAACCAATCCAATGAATTTCTGGAGGTTCTTTGTCTCATGATACTCCGCAGGGGCCTTTTTTTTCCTTTTTAATCCCTTTTGTGTATAATTATGGTTTCTGGTGTTGTTTCCATGGGATTGTTGTGTGTGTCAACACGTGTCTCTCTAAGTCCATATGTGTTTCTTGCATATTTGATTCATTTGTTCTTCTGTTCATTTTGTCATATTGCTTTTTGTTTGGTTTTATTTTGTCTTCTTTTGCTTCCTTATTATTTAGATATCTATTTGCTCTTTAATGAGACGGGAAGAAATGGTGTAGATTTGAATTGCAGGGGATATGGAGAGGATCTGATAGCATCTGGGGAAAGGGAACTTATAATCAAAATATATTGTATGGGCAAAAAATATATTTTCAATAAAATGGGGGAGGAGGAAATGATAGCTGTTTGCATCCTCTTGTGTAATCTACTAAATGCACCAGTCTGTGACTGGAGGAAGGTGCTTAGATGTGACAAATATTGTTCAGGATCAAGTTAGTGCTGATTACATGTCTCATGTAATTGTTTAGATACTTTACCTAAAACATGTAGATTTGTTCACTCAGTCTCTGCTGATAGCAACAGAGATTCTATTATTCTGAAGTATTTTTACATATCTGATGTGCTTTTCTTGAATTCTTGTTAAAAACACACTGCTTTGTAGTTCCATGCCTATTCCTGATATTTATTTGGAAATGTGTAGGGAAATCAGCCATGTGCCATCTTGATAAGGGCTACCACAGCACAGTGGACTTTATTCAAAGTATCAGGAACAGTTACAGGTTACAAAACGTGCTTTCCATTACTTCCCTCTGCTTCTTACCACAAGTTCTCCTAAGTTTTCAAGCACAGATATATATATATATATATTCAAAGACGTATATGAATCCCCAAAACTCACATTATTAATTCATGTGCTGGGTGTACAGCATGGTGATCATTTCACTTACTTGTGACCCATTTCATGGGCAATTGTAAACGCAAGGTTCAGGCCATTGTCTTCAGCAATAATACACTTTCTCTTTTCACTACACATTCCATTCAAGTAAGCAATACCTAAAAGACATCAACACTATTAATTATATATCAAATACAAACTTAAAAAAATATATGCTAAAATAATATAGGAATGTAATTGAGTTTTTCCCACTTAAACATAATAATATTAAATTGGAAAATCAAGTCTTTATGAGTGAAATTTTAGGTAGAAATACATCTGCATAACTTTATTAATATATTTTGAAATATCATATTTTAGATAAAAATATTTTATAACTTAATGAATTCTCAAAATGCATACTGTACAATGAGTCATATTTTTTCTTATGAGACAAATAATCACAATATATGAAATTGAATAGAAAACAATGCTATATATTTTTCAGTTATTGAGAACTCAGAAATAGAAAAATGGAAATAAATTCCACATAAAAGTTTTGAAGTTAATTTTAATTAACACAATTTTTAAATTGCACTCAATGAAATAACATTTTAAGCAATGTAAGAACTAACTATAATATTTAAATAATGACAGTATTGCCCTTGAAAATATTGGTTAATATGACATCAGCGCAAAGTGTACATGACAGTAAAATATTCTTTATGATAGAGACCTTAATGAGGTATTGGTTATTTTGCTTATTCAGAAGATTAGAAAAATTTACACTGTTTTAATAGGATAATAAAAGTATTTACATTTTTATTATACATTTGAAAATAAAATACTAATTTGTGACTAAATGTCTTCTCAAAATGCTAAATAAAGTTCACTATAACAAGTAATACTGATTATGGTTACAGTAGCTCCCACAGGATTTCTATACATTGTATCATCTTTTGACTCAAAATAAAGCCACTTGACCATCCTGTTCAGACTTAAAGGAGTTTTTCTGTCTGTGTATGGCATGGATGTATGCATATGCACCTGAGTATTATGGCCAGAGGATGACATCATGTCTTTATGAATTGCTTTCCACCTTTACTTTTGAGAAAGGATGTCTCACCAATCCTGGGGTTCACTGGTTCCCTAGGCTGTACAGCTAATGAACTTCAGAAATCTACCTATCTCCATCTATCTCCCAAGCATAGACATTATAGGTACACACTGCATCCTCCAGCTTTGTACATGAGGATGCGAACTCAGGTCCTCATGCATGCACAGAAGCCACTTAACTGAGCCTTTTCCTGATGCCCTTCTCTCGTAACTTGTAAATTTCTAGCCTTAACGAACTACCCAAGTTTCCAATATTATACTGAGATTTGTGTTCACACTGAGCTCCGTCTTTTGCCTCCTAACTTGAATAGGGATAACTCTAAGTTCCCGGGTGCATAATTGTTGTGCGATTATTTCTTTTTAATAGATGCCTTATTAACTTAAGAGAACTGCTCCCTGGAATTCTTCCATAGAGGAGGAAACAGATGCACCACCATAGGTGATGTAGGTGTGTCAGATGAATGAGAGACAGACAGTGTCTGTGAGAGAGAACAAACGTGTAAAAAAAAAATCACTGAGGGAATACACAAGTAAGTTAAGTACTGGGCAGGGGAGACACCTAATATAAATGCATAAGAGAAAAAAAGTCTCAGCTAAATTGAAGAGCATGTCCAGAAGCAACACTAGTATGTCCAGCTGAGGGACAGGCATCTTAGTAACTGACACACACAGAGTAGTATATGGATTTATTTATGAAGATGTTCTGTTGATCAAGTGTGAAGGAGGAACACAGAATACGTGTGACCTGTAAATTCAAGGAAAAAAAAAGTGAGATGTATAAGACTCTCTGGTGAGCAAAGTAGTAAGACAGAGGAGCCTGAAAATGTGGAGGACAGAGTACAGCAGTTGGAAAAACGGATTCATCAATAAAGGCAGGACTGTAGAGACAGCTCAACAATGGTTAAGAATATTCACTGCTCCTGAAGGGGGGCAGAGATGGTCCTTCTGCCCCAGGAGATGAAGCCCTCTTCTGGACCCTGCAGACTCTTGCATTCATCTGCACATATCCCTCCCACCCCAGACCCAAACCCACACAGACAAAACTAAACAATAGGTCTTTAAAAACAGAGGCCAGGAAAGGAGGCATAGAGTGGAATTTTAAAGTATCAGAGACATTTTGAGTCAAATGATTCAGTCGTGTTGCCTAAATGAAAAAAAATTAATGTTGGGATGAATTTAAGAAAACGGCAAAGGTAACCAGTATCCACAGAAAATGTGAAGAGAATCCAGATGAACCAGATGGTGCTGTGATGAGCCACAGGGGCTCATGTGTGAATGAAGAGTTGATAAACACAGTGGGAGAAACTTTGGTTTAGAATCAAGGAGTAAGGGGACCTTAGTAGCCAGCACTGTCATATCCCTCCTGCACCAGCATGTAACACAGGACAGCCGAAAGTGATCTCTCTGAGAATCCTTGAGTATAGAAGTCTATAATCACAAGATTTTAGAAAATCATTGACTATTGTGTTATAAAAAAAATACTGATTAATATTATTAATATTATTCTATAGACTCTGAAGACATTTATAATATAAATTATAAATGCATATGAAAGAACAGAAAATATTCAAGTGATGATTATGTATTTACACAGAGGTATGATAGCAGTTATACTATAATACCACTACCACGTATTTCAGAAAAAAATGGCTACATATTCGATAAATCACTGATAGCAACTGTACAATATGCTGAGATTATGGGTGAATTTTCTGCCTCTTTCCCATTTTCCAAATCATGTGTTCATAATGGTTGATACTGGGAAATTTAAAGCTTATAAACACAGTGATCACCCTTATAAATTTGATTAGTAATTGCAACTTCTCGTAGACCAGGTTGTGGTTTAACAATTGAAAATTACCTTCTGCTCCCATTCTACTGGCATGTAGAGTCAGAAACTTCAGCTGGTACTTGGTAAATGTGAAATTCATTGTACTTAATTTGGAAGGTCAAGGAGATGTCTTTGCCTTGACTGTTACAGAGAACCTCTGTAGTCATTTAAAAGAATTGTGTTATTTTGTTTCAAAGGCCACTTTTTTCTGTTCTTTTCAAAAGCCCATATGTTTCTTATTATAATGAGGTCTAGGGGTTAGGAGAGGAAAGAATTTACCACAGCTGTTATTAAAGATAGATGTGATACAGACCCATTTCAAAGTGCCATTAATGTAAAGAATTCTTGAAATGTAAAGCAAACAAACACAGTCTTCTCTTTTCCCATCTAAATGAAGCAAATTGTGAACCAGGGAACCAGAAGAATCTTTCCTCTAAAAACAAATTATAACTATGCTGAGACAAGATATACCCTACAAAGACTATGGGAGACTTCTGAAATGTTACAGGATGCATTTATGAAAGAGACTGTATGAAATCAGAGCTTGTATCTGACTAGCTAGATAAAGGCAAACAGAACTAAGTGTTCTTTGCTCCTGGACTGCTGCTTTTATGACCAGATGGACCATATGAATTCAAAGCTCTGACTTTCTTGGAATAAGGCTTCGGCAGAGATTTGGATAAGTTGTTTACCTCATAGCTGTACTCTATATACTATTTACCTATAAGGCGGTAACTTCTTGAGGTCTATGGCAGTCAAAATTCTACGTAATGAGCATGAGCGTCCAAATATGTTGATCATAGTTTTTCAAGTGTGAGCTATACAAATGCCAATTTTAAAAAAGTGGACACTAAGATACGTATATGTTTGTAAAATATCACAATAGAAAAAATTTTTAATTTTTCTAAATATGTTAAAGAGGGAAAACCAGGCAGGCTTTATGAGAAAGAAACTGGCTGCTAGTAACAGCAACTAGCTAAAGATGAGAAAAGAGCTAAAGAAATGGGTGGATATCCTTGGGCAAACATCTGAGCATGGTATGGGTCAGCGATGCTATGAGAGTAGATGGTGCAGGATCTGTCAATGTGCGTGCTGGCAGCCTATCCCTACATCAACAATTGATTTAAAATGTTCTGAACATGGCCTGTGTTTAAAAGTATTTGATACATGAAATTTCCTGCAGCAAAGATTAATAAATCGTGATTTGCTTCAAGCATTAAATAGATTCATAAGTTTGAAGGATGAAAATATATTTCATGCACTCAATAGCAAAAAGCCTGAGGGTATGATAATAGTGCCCAGATATTGAAAATCCATAGGCATGATTGATTACATAAACCTTTGACACATTACAGAAGTAGTAATCTGTCTTATTAATTAGCTTATTGCTAGATTATTTACTAAAGACCAAGCTAGCCATCTAGGGATACAAAAATCACAATTATACAAGTTATGGATGTGATATCAACATTACAAATGCCGATTTTAAATACACTTTCAAATTGTCTTAAATATTAAAGTAACTTATGATATCATTGACAGTGCAATTTCTATAAATACTAAGGAAAAATTACTTCCAGCATAAAGAAAGAACAGAATACAAGAGTGTAGTGACTTCCTTGATAACATGAGGTAGATTAATATGTAGATGTTAAAGGACTGTGTATGCTTTAAAATACACATTCTGATACTCCATTTATGAAAAAAACTGACTGTTTAACAACGCGTAAAGAAAAGAGAATTCTCCCGTACTAGAAAAAGCTCTTAAAATTTCAAATTTGTAGACTCTGGGTCAGGAGCAGAAGCTATCACATCCTATGGAACAACAAATGGTAGTATTTATTATAAGACATATCTTCAAGATGTATGGGGGTATAGATTCTGTGGTGTAGCATAAGGCCTAAACATCAAATTGAACTATGAATTATTTCTGTCTCCCTTAATATGGATGTTAATCCTGATAAAGCATCTATTTGTATGATGGTGAAGCATAGCACTTGGATCTGGAAGGTGAATACAGTTGATTATGAATAGGCTTAAGGATCCAGGGAGAACAGCCATTACTGATACAGTTCTCTAGGAACTCTTTGTGTTACTTAGAAGAACTAAATGAACTATTTAGCAGTTTTTAATATTACAATGCTCATTAAATATTTGAGAATGTTCTAAATAAGAGAATTAAAACAATAATTTTTTTAAAAAAGCAAAATTAGAATTGCTACTGTCTATGAT